GTCATACTCCCCTCCCCCCCCCCATCCAGCACCCGCTCATTCCTTTGGTTCCACTAGAGCTGAGGCCAATCAGTGCACAGGCACTTCATTATAGAGCTAGGTGACGAGTGCCTCGGGGTTTGAGCAATGTGTAACTATGCCTAAACCAAGCCCCCCACTCCCTAGACCTGTGCCTCCAGTGCTTGCTCATGTGTTGCCAGTTCCAGTGACTGTGTTCCCTGTGCCACCAGAATCCCCTGCACTCCGGAGACCCTTTGACCCCCGTGTACTTCAATTACCTCAGTGTCTACGGTGACCCCACTGCTCTGGTGTCTCCAGCAACCTCTGTGTCTCTGTTGACCCCTGTGTCTCCAGAGTCTTTAGTGACCCCTGAGTCTCCAGCATCTCCAGTGACCCCTGTGTCTCCAGCATCTCCAGTGACCCTTGTGTCTCCAGCATCTCCAGTGGCCCCTGTGTCTCCAGTGTCTTCAATGACCCCCTTTGTCTACAGCATTTCCCCTGTGTCTCCAGCATCTCCAGTGACCCTTGTGTCTCCAGCATCTCCAGTGGCCCCTGTGTCTCCAGTGTCTTCAATGACCCCCTTTGTCTACAGCATTTCCAGTGACCCCTGTGTCTCCAGAGTCTCCAGTGACCCCTGTGTCTCCAGAATCTCCAGTGACCCCTGTGTCTCCAGTGTCTTAAGTGACCTTTGTGCTCCTGTGTCACCCCATGACCCAATGAACATCCTATCTCACGCAGTGTCCCCGAGGGATTCCTTTCTCATGCAGTGACCCCAGAGCATTTTGTGACTCCAGTGTGCTCTGAACCTCTCCATGACCCCGGTGTCTCCACACAACCTTAGTATACTTCTGTATTTCCTGAGCTGTGTCTCCGGTCCCCTGTCTATGACAAATACATTGATTGAAATGAAAAAATCCTATGACCAGCCGCAATGTGTGTGGACACCCTATGACCAATCAGACTATCTATGGGACATTACCTGTGAAGTCTCCGGCCAGAGGTAGGTGGGTGTCAGTGAGCATCACCCGGTTCCTAGTGGATATCGGTCCATGTTTTCCCATTAGATCTCCGACCCTGCAGTGCAGGGACTCCTGGGGGCCACACCAAGACCAGTTCCCTCCCTGGAGAGAGGAAAGAAGGGAGTGGTCATCTGTGTCTCATTTCTCCATTGTACTCTCTGTGTCTCTGCCCCTCCCACACAGCGAAGGTGTGTCTCTGAGGACTCTGTGTGTCTCTGAGGACTCTGTGTCACTGAGGGCTCTGTGTGTCTCTGAGGACTCTGTGTCACTGAGGGCTCTGTGTGTCTCTGAGGACTCTGTGTGTCTCTGAGGACTCTGTGTCACTGAGGACTCTGTGTGTCTCTGAGGACTCTGTGTCACTGAGGACTCTGTGTGTCTCTGAGGACTCTGTGTGTCTCTGAGGGCTCTGTGTGTCACTGAGGACTCTGTGTGTCTCTGAGGACTCTGTGTGTCTCTGAGGACTCTGTGT